GTTTTGAGCTCCCGAAGCGCAATAGCTATTGGAAGTCCTCGCAAGTGCGTAGGTTCATCCAATTTGGTCAGGAGCACGTGTTTGCCAACATGCCCAAACTTTGTGTTTGTGGTGGCCCTCAGGTGGGCAAGACTTTCCTTTTTGCCACGAATCATCGTACCATTGCACAGTTTTTGCAGAAATTCATCAGTTGTGAGCATGCCAGCCATTTGTCTTTTAATACTTCACGATGGACATCCACCGGTAGGTATCCAGCCCTTCTCGTGTTCGAGCTGCTCACCGCCATCAAGACGGTCGCGCTTGGTGAAGTCACCAGGCGAGACGGAGGGTACATCATGTTTGACCCTCAAGTTGACGGAGAAACGTTTTTGTACACTTCCAAGCGGTTGTTTGAGAGGCCGATTCAATAATTCTTTGATCTTTGAGCACACCGTTACATAAGCAGTGCTCAAGAGACGGTGTGATCATTTTTCTCCATTCATGCTTGAACTTTGGTTCATCGCCATGTTTGTGATGCAGTGTGTGATTGTGGCATCCCTTTGCTGGATGATGATGATGCCTTCCAAAGACAGATCGAGGTCGAGATCTCGATCACGCTCGGAATCGAGCGCCGGATCTTCATGGAGTGATGAGGTGGCTGAAGAAACAGCCCATGTCAGGCTCACGGCGAGAAAGCGAAAATCCATGCGTCGCCGAATGCAAGACGGAACGGCCCGAACAAAGAAGGCAGCTGGAAAAGCCGCTTCTGCAAAGGCTTCCGCTTCGAACGAGCCTCGACCGCCGGACACTCCACCTCCTAGTGCCTTGGCTGCTGGAAGTGCATCTCAAAATGTTGGATCTTCTTCAACTCCAAGGCCTCCTTCCAATGAGTTTCCTCCGAGCTTGCTTGGTTCACAACGTGACGACGTATGTGGGCACCAAGTCTGGCAGAGCTTTCCATTTGGAGCATTGTACAGTTGTACGTCACCGTACACATGATGTCGATCGTTGGGATCTTTGCTCCAAGTGCTTCCCGGTGACGCCCATTCGATTTCCGAAAGGAAAGGGCGTGATGTGCCTTGGAAATTTGATGCATTCAGATGGACACTGCCATAACCTCCGAAACATCGACATGTTTGGAAAAGACACCTACAAAGTGCCGTGTCAAAGCTGTATCAGCACGATCGAGCACTGATTTGAGCCACAGGCTATTGGACTTTTTGAGCCAAAGGCTATTTGCCCTTTGAGCGGAAAAGCCGAGTCAGCCAGTGCCATTCCAACCATTCCCACTTTCCTGAATCACTTCAAGATGTTTTTTTTTGGGAGGCAGTTCCAACTTTATCCAAGTTCCAACGATAGCAACGATGAGTTTCGTAAGCTTTGAATCCTTGCACGCTTTATTTCGTTTCGCATCCAATCGTGTCATAATAATATACTTGAACTGCAGAGCATTCTTGCTATAGTTGACTTGATCATTCCATTCCATGCAAGTTTTATCGGCAGGTTGAAGACCGCCTTGCTCCATGGCCATCAGCTCAGATTCTTCCAAGCATTGAGTGCTGGGATTATCTCGAAAGGGGGTGCGAAAAGTTCTAGGTGATGAGTTTCCATGTCGAGATAACCCACCAGGTGCGTTCTGAGAACCATCCATGAGTTCAGTCACAACTTCCCTTCCGGTCAGGTACATGCATTTCGTTTCAGCCGATATGCCATTCGTTGCCGGATGCCGCCGCATCCTTCGAGCTTTCGATGCAATCATGGCTCAAGCCATGCACGGACTAGATCATGAAGTTGAGCGTGAAAAGTCCGAGTGATCGCATTTGGATTTGGGTGGTGGGTCATGTTTTGTTCTGGTGTTCACCTGAGGTACATGGATCCCTGGTCATGCTTTTGTTTTGGGGTCATGTGCTTCGCACTGTGGGGTTTCTTTTTGACTTGTTTTGGGTGCCAGGATTGTTTTGCGAAAGGCCGTGGCAGGGCAGTTTGGGCACGTGTGTAGGGTTGCTTTTTGAGCTGTTTGGGCGCTTGCCTCCGAGCGGGGGGAAGCCGTGGAAGGGTTTCCTTTTGACCTGTTTGGGTTGCTAGGCTTTTTGGGCGGCGGGTTTGCGAAAGGCCGTGACAGGGCTGATTGGGCACCTGTCACTGTGTAGGGTTTCCTTTTGGCCTGTTTGGGCGCTAGCGTGCGTGCGGGGAGCCCTTGGGCCGGACTTTTCGTTTTTTTTGGGGGGGGTTCGTTTTGATCTGTTTGGGCGCTAGGCTTTTTGGGCGGCGGGTTTGCGAAAGGGCGTGACGTGACAGGGCTGTTTGGGACCGGAACCTGTGTAGGTTGTTCACGAAGCAGCTTTGCTGTGAGGTGTCCTCAATTCCCTGGGGCCAAGATGCTTCCCGCCCTTTGTTTCCCCTTGTCTCTCATGGCGTGTCTGGATGCTGGGCTGAGATGATTTTGTTTTGTTTCCCTTTGTCTCGCTTTGCTTGTTCCCCGCCATTGGACTATTGCCCGTCCTGTTGCCGATGAGGGTTTGGTTGCTGTTGGCATTTTTCATGACCATATGTTGAATCAGGCGCCACAATCCTCCTGGGAACTGATGGTTCGGGTGGTCCTTTCAGTGATGACCCTCGTCTTCGGAAGTCTGCGTGGGCTGTGGTTGCTCTTCGCATGGATGGTGATGAGTTTGTTGTGATCGGTACCATGTCTGGTGCTTTAGTTGACAGTGATGAAACTTGCAATACTGTCCCTCGAGCTGAACTTATGGCTCTGGTGAGGGCATTGGAAGCCTTGTCTTGGCATGATGGGCCTGTCCAAGTTGCCTTTGATGCGTCTTATGTGCAAACTACTTGGCAAAAGGTCTCACACAATAAGCATGTTGGTAACCCTAATGGAGATCTGAAATGAGGCTTAGACGGTTGGATCGTCGCTCTGTGGAGCTGTGCGAGGTTAAATCACACATGAGTCTCCAAGATCACATTGACTTGGGTCGTCCGGCTTGGTCCTGGCATGCTAATGCTGCTGCAGATTCCCTTGCTGGGGAAGCAGCAGTGGCCTTTGCCCCGTATGGAAAGGATAAGGCTAACGCTTTCATTTTAGGACGAGCTTGGCGCTTAAACAAGTGGTTGTTGCCTCGGGTGCAATTTTGGTTGCGTCAGCAGAGCACCTGTAAACTTCCGAAGCAAAGTGAGTCTAGACGCACCAAGGATGCTTTCCTGTTGTCTCTAAGAAATAACCCTGTTGGAGGCCATGAGTGGGAATCCTCAGTCAAGGGTTTGTGCTGTTTGCGTTGTGGTACAAAGTTGCCCAAATACAATCGTTTGAGTGATCTGGAGGTTCTGGTGCAAATCCCATGTGATGGGATGAGTGGTGTCCGCAGGGTGCATTATACTCATACCATGTATGGTGGCACGCGGAAGACCTGCAATGTTTGTAAGGGAGTTTGTTATGCGGGGCCACGGATTAGCAAGAAGTTGCGGCAATGATGTGGAACTTCCGGAAGAGTCTTGTACAGACGGATGGTAGTTTGCTTGGAAAAAAAGTCTCCCTTTGCTTCCCCTTGTCTCCCATGGTGTGTCTGGATGCTCGGATGCTGGGCTGATTTGTCTCCCTTCATCTCCCCTTGTCTCCCATGGCGTGTCTGGATTCTGGATGCTGGCGTGGGTTCGCTTTGCTTTGTTTCTCCTTGTCTCCCATGGCGTGTCTGGACGCTGGGCTGAGATGATTTTGCTGCTTTGTCTCCCGTGGCGTGTCTGGAGGCTGGGCTGAGATGATTTTGC